ATCACAACAGTGTAGAAGAACGGGTACAGTCATGCCTGTATATAAGACTCAATCGAGGCAAACCTTCAAAGGTGTTACTAATAGACAAGCCGTCCTACAAGGGTGTTCGTTAACACATTTCTGACTGTAGTTTCAATTGCCGATAGCAAGGGGTGAGTTTATTGATCCGTCCGTCGACTGACCTCAGCTTCCTGGCTGCTGCTCCGCAAGACGGTACCGTGGCGATCACTTCAGGAAGTGCTCGTGAATGGCCTTGAACTTGTTGGGTGCAATGACGATGGGGACACGCGTCGGGGTGCCGTCGCGCGTGCCGTCCGGCCGGGGGAACGAGACACGGCCAAACTGCTTCACGTCTCCATGCTTCTCCTGCAGGGCCTGCAACAACAACGAACACCATCGTTCATGATCGCGGCTAACAGCAAACACCATCGTTCATGATCGCGGCTAACAGCGAACACCATCGTTCATGATCGCGGCTAACAGCGAACACCATCGTTCATGATCACGGCTAACAGTGAACACCATCGTTCATGATCACGGCTAACAGTGAACACCATCGTCCATGATCGCGGCTAACAGTGAACACCATCGTCCATGATCGCGGCTAACAGTGAACACCATCGTCCATGATCACGGCTAACAGCAAACACCATCATTCATGATCGCGGCTAACAGCGAACACCATCGTCCATGATCGCGGCTAACAGTGAACACCATCGTTCATGATCGCGGCTAACAGCGAACACCATCGTTCATGATCGCGGCTAACAGCGAACACCATCGTTCATGATCGCGGCTGACAGCACCGAGTCAACACAAATTCAGCTTGCAATCGCAGTCTCCATCAGATAACAGATAACAGTTGATCTTTGATATCCCACACACTTCTCACCTTGGCAAAGCCTGGAGTGGGAAACGCAGAGAAATCAGTGCGTACTTGTCCTCCCGTGTGATAAGAGGCAAGCAGATTGGTCACTGATACCTGAATCAGACCCAAATTCAGATGCACACTTGATTACTGTAATATCTATCACTAACAATGCATAATGTTATAATTATATATACGAATAAATCAATCAAACAATCCAATTATTAAGATATATTAACAAAATTAAGCAGTCGGTCATTCATTCAGATGTCAAGCATGATTCAGTCAATCTGTTGAAATTCAACAATATGAACACAGAACTGAATTAGAGCATATAAATCGTAACGTGCCATTGATAAATGAGAATTTATCAATGGCATATCGCATATCTTTATAAATTGCCTTTTTGAGATAAATGTAAATAGCGAGCGATTCACTTGCCTGAAGATCTAGAGCCTCATTTTGTAGCTGTAAAACCCTAGCTGCAGACTCTGTCAGCTGCCTACTAGGATTAGTCAATCCTGTCACTGGCTCAGCACCTGGCTTACACCTTGTGATGTCAACAACCTGTAACACGACAAGACAACATACAGCTTGTTAGTCAACCCTGTAGATTGAAAACGTACAGCTGACGTTTCGCCTCCTATCAGGAGGCTTTCTCAAAGCTTACTGAAGATTATCAGTTTTGACCACCACGTTTCCAATCTTCACGGTTTAGTAACAATTAACCCCGATAGATCTATTAGTCTACCAACCGAATGAACTTATTTAATGAGTAACATACAGCTTCCATTTACTGTTAAACCTATAGAAAAGTGAGACACATTGAGAGTATAGACAGCAACACAACGAAGTAAACGGGAACAAAAGGTAGCAACTATAGACATTAATACACGTCTGACACGTAGTGAATATAGACTGGAAACACGTGAGAGACTTAGTGAGTATCGACAAAAATGGAAATACGTGAGAGACTTAGTGAATATAGACTGGAAACATGTGAGAGACTTAGTGAGTATCGACAAGACTGGAAACATGTGAGAGACTTAGTGAGTATATCGACAAGACTGGAAATACGTGAGACTTAGTGAGATAGACAAGAATGGAAATACGTGAGACTTAGTGAGTATAGACAAGAATGGAAATACGTAAGACTTAGTGAGTATCGACAAGACTGGAAATACGTGAGACTTGGTGTAACGTGTTTTACACAGGTTCATTGAATTAGTCGAGTGGAGATAGACTGGTAGTTGTTTTAGTCATAGTCCAGCTAGACAGCCTCGCTCAACCAGATGCGCGCTGCATTGATGGTATTGGGATAATGGCAGACGTGGTTAGGTTAGGCCAGTTTCTAGGTGTGATTGTGAAATGAGGGAACGGTTGAATCTGGGACAAGAACGGGTACATGTGCGGGCAGTGTGTTTGTAGGAGTTTGGGGGGATATATATAGAGAGAGAGATTGGGGATGGGAGATTCTGGGATTCGGGTGGTGGGCCGCGGAGCTGAGTACACGCCGTTGCGCGTGTGCGCGTTCTTTGTCTGTTTGTACGATTGTCTGATGAGGTGGTTACACAGTGTTGAATATTAAAGATTGTACAGTTTACCACACAAGTGCCGGAGTTTGGATCTACTTCTACATCATTTCGACATCAACGCTCATTCCAACGTTTACATTTTGGTGCCGTCGACAGTCAAAAACCTGGGTAACCTTTTGCGGACACAACGCAAGTTATTTCATATCGATACGGGCCAGCAACGAAACGAGGAAGGATGACGGAGACAAAGAAAAGAAACGGAAAGAGCGAGTTCTGGTGATGACGGGGAGCCAGACTGGGCCGACGACGATGACGATGGCGACGAGGACGAGGCTGGAGATCGTGGAGAAGGAGGACTGTTGCTGACGCCGCGTCGTCAAGGTTGTCAACGGAGAGGAGAAGGACGAGAAAGGAAGGATAGATTCCGACGAAGGAAGAGAAGCTAGGATGCAGGCACACGAAAGGAGCAAGAACGCAAGAGATGAACGAGTCGGAAATACTTAAAATGGGTATGTGAATCAATCTTGTGTCGGCATTTCTTTCGTAATTAAAGTGAAAACGTTAGTTATAAACGTTAATACTCGGGATTTTTCCTGTATACACCAGGCAAGCATGCACCATACGTTTTTTTTATCCCTTATATCTGTTTTAGTTCAAAAGGTGCATGTTATGTTATGTCGATGCCTATATATACTTGCGATGCGGAGCGGAATAATACTTTGAATAAGAAACGCCGACACATTTGTTTCACACGCTTATTTAACTGACATTGTATGTATGTATAGGTTTATGGTTGTTTTATGAACGCATTTTCTTCATGATATATGCTTCTAACCGTTTTTTTTTGTGTGTGGAAAATCTTTGTTGTGAAACTTTGTTTAGAAATTTGTGATCGTTTCTTGAATTTGTGCTAACCAGTGACGGTACGTTTCCACTATATTGTTAGACCGCTGGACACATTTTTTCAATCAGGTTTGATTATAGGCCAAAAACATTCATCGAAATATGAAATCAGTTTTGCGTTATTTTGGATGGCTGTATATGATGTATGATGTATGATGGATGATATATGATGATTTTGTTGGCCGTATGATGTGTGGAAGTACCCCATCAGTGCCGTGTTTATTAATGCCTGTGTGCATGGGCCCTTGTGTGCCCTGGGATTATGATGATATAATCCAGTTATAACGTGGTTTCGGTAATGCGTATCGGCATACGCCACGTACGTTACAGCCATAAAAATACGCAGATTGGAGATTATTGCAGCGATATCAGAATGTTCATGCCAAATGTGTGAGTTTCTGATTTCTGTTGTGGTTAGACTTTTATCGTTACTTGTTTTCTACGTTTCATATGTGATCTCTTATTGTATTTTGATTGTTGTTGTGTATTGATTGTGGGTGATTTAATCGGACAGAAAGACGTTTTCTCTCGTTGGGTTGAGTTAGGACGATATTAGAGTGGTAATATTTTTTTTTGGAATTTAGAATCAGCGGGACGCTGAATCGATGATGGGTTCATCGTTTTGTTGAAGGAGGGGAGTGAATGTAACGTGTTTTACACAGGTTCATTGAATTAGTCGAGTGGAGCAATAGACTGGTAGTTGGTTTCAGTCATAGTCCAGCTAGACAGCCCTCGCTCAACCAGATGCCGCGGCTGGCATTGATGTATTGGGGATAATGGCAGACGTGGTTAGGTTAGGCAGTTTCTAGGTGATTGTGAAATGAGAGGGAACGGTTGAAAACTGGACAGAACGGGTACAGGTGCGGGCAGTGTGTTTGTAGGAGTTTGGGGGATATATATAGGAGAGAGAGATTGGGGATGGGAAGATTCTGGATTCGGGTGGTGGCCGCGGAGCTGAGTACACGCGCCGTAGCGCGTGTGCGCGTTCTTTGTCGTGTCTGCCTACGCATTGTCTGATGAGGTGGCTACACAGTGTTAATATTAAGATTGTACAGTTTACCACACAAGTGCCGGAGTTTGGATCTACTTCTACATCTTTTCGACATCAACGCTCATTCCAACGTTACATTAGTGAGTATCGACATAGACTTGGAAATACGTGAGACTTAGTGAGTATCGACAGAATGGAATACGGTGAGACTTAGTGAGTATCGACAAGACTGGAAATACGTGAGACTTAGTGAGTATAGACAAGACTGGAAATACGTGAGACTTAGTGAGTATCGACAAGAATGGAAATACGTGAGACTTAGTGAGTATCGACAAGAATGGAAATACGTGAGACTTAGTGAGTATCGAAAAGACTGGAAATACGTGAGACTTAGTGAGTATCGACAAAGACTGGAAAACCTGTGAGATTAGTGAGTATCGAAAAGACTGGAAATACGTGAGACTTAGTGAGTATCGACAAGACTGGAAATACGTGAGACTTAGTGAGTATAGACAAGAATGGAAATACGTGAGACTTAGTGAGTATATCGACAAGACTGGAAATACGTGAGACTTAGTGAGTATCCACAGCACGCATGACTCACCTTCGGACAGCTGCTGAGCTTGTTCAACTCTGTGAACAGCGTCGTGGTCCTCTTACGCAGCGCTTCGATGGTGCTGCCCCCCTCAGCGGCCGGCATGCTGGCCGACACTTGAGTAACGTGAGCCGCTGTACCGATCGCCTTCCGCGGAACGATGAGAGGCGAAAGACATTCCATCTGTCTCTGCCGGGGACAAACGATAAACAGATGGATCGGCCTGCTTAGACTGCTCATCGGGGAATTCTTACGTTTTTATGTACTAGCTGTGTAGCAGGACAGCAAGTTAATAAATTCCCCCAACGCTTTCAATGAAGGCTGTATCAAAAGATGATTAGGCAGACAATCAGTCAGCATTCTCTATACGCTGGATTCTTATAAATCACATTATGAGGGCTAAAATAGCTTACTGAATGGATATAATGCAGCCCCAAATGCGTTCATTCATGAACGAAGAACTGCTTCAATGCATATACACAATTGCCCAAACGTATTCATTGTTTATATCTACATTTGTTAATTGCTTCAACAAGAGTACAACCAACTTTTACAAGACGATTTGAACAGCCAGGGCAGGCCCTGACAATCATCAGTGGGTGGGGTACTTGCCAATCTGAGAGTGTCTGATAACACCAAAATGCTCAGATATTGACCTTTAAAGAGTTCCTAACTATAAGCACCTTAATGCCACACTAAACAGAAATCCACACGGTTTGAAATGTATAATGCGGTAATGCCAGAATGCAGTAAAGTATTATGTAGTAATTGATTATGTAGTAATGCAAGAACATATTACATAAGTGGAAATTATTAAACTGTGCCGTGTCAGTTTTGTAAGTAACTGAAGAAAAAATATACAAAATAACACAACTTTCATGCTTTTTTAATGAATATTTTAGCTGATACTGAATGTCAGACCTGAAATCATGCAGGGTTTCTGAAAAATGATTAATTTTCTTGTTTATCCCAGTAGGTGACAGATTCAATGCCACAATGGCAGCGAGAACCATTGTATATTACCTTCATCTTGTCGCACTTGAGGCGCCAGCTCTCCTCCCTGGTCGTGTGCAAAGCTTCTTTGAGTGCTGTGATGTGACTTAGAAGCAGAGGTGAATCCTTTACCTCTGCTGGAGCCGACGGAATGAAGGCAGGACTGCTGCTTGCGCCAACTGAGTGCGTGAAACAAATCATATTAAACATCTGACCAAATTATAAATCCACTGCCATTGATAGTCCATTAATGATCCATATGAAATATAATATATATATATATATATATATATACATATATATATGTATGTATGGGTATATAGATATACCAAATCAATATAACCTAAAAAATTATTTAGGCATCAAATTTAATGCACCAACACATAAATTTCATCTACTTTTCTCCTTATATTCACCTAAAAGCTGATACAAAAGTATGAATATAGCTCAAATCTGTTCATAACAGGTTTGCTTGACGCGTCATGCTCACACATCACGTTGGGCTTCCCTCTAGCGCATCACATGAATTAATAAACTGATAACAAAAACAAATGTTTGAGTAACCATTATAACAACACGAACCGCCCATGATTGCACTCAGTGCTGGCGACTTTGCAAGGCCCTCAACCATCGCCTTCTTTGCAAGGGATTTCAGCTTCTCTTTCAGATCAGACTTCTCATGTTCTAGAGCATCTATATCACCCTGTAGGACGTCCATCGTCTGCTCATACTCCCTGAGAGAAGCCAACAGCAATGACTACGCCATCTCAGGAAGACTAACAATGTATTTTTCTCCCAAAGTACAAGTTAGAATGTAGAATCCAGTGTAAGATAACCACACGGAAACATCGCTTATCTCATACTACATGTAATTTCAGCTCAACCAATCAAAAACCTTCATTCTGAGATTGTATCAACCAAACATATAACTCACTAATGATGTGTCTTGAACACCTGTGTACTATGCTGCGTCACCCAGCTGGGTTTGTCAGTAGTTTTCAAGAAGTAATTGTATTTCAAGGATAAAATACAAGAAAAATGTTCTACGTCTGTGTGAGAACATTGTATCTTAATTTCGTGATAGAGATTACATTATGCACTGATGGTGTCATGATCATACTTTTATCTGTGCAATGTGCGAGATAATCTGGTGTTTGGATAAACACTGATAAAACCATACTACCCCCTGTATATTTTATATACGGAGCAAATGTTCACATTACAAACACCAAAAGCGTTGTTGAGTGAATGCAACACATTATACTCTCCATTATAAAAGTTCTATATTTGTAACATACTTCTCTTTCTTCTTGAGGGCAGTAACAGCTTCGTCTAGTTTCCTCTGCACCTTGGCTGCTCGTTCATCACCATCTTTGGATGCATTCTCCAGCTTTTTTTCAGCGAGACCTATTCTTACGTTGAGCTCCGAAACTTCCTCTGCCTGCAAAATGTGATGACAACATTTCTGTCATGTACGTTACTGCAGCCATGTACGTGCACACCCTACAGAGCAGTGGTTTTCAGTGTAAGCAGTACTTCCACTCTGCTGGGAGCTGTGAGATTATCTAGGGCCATTAAAAAGCAAGGGGTTGAGCAGGCAGTGCTAGATCGTATTGACATTGGGCAACTGCTTACTGCCTGAAGTAGTACGTTCAGACGAATATTTTTCATGTGTGAAACCTAAATTAAGAACGTGAAGCTCATTAACATGTCATTAGAGTGAGCCGACAAAAATCTCGGCACTGTGACAGCAAATGCTGACAAGTGTGAAAACTTCTTTGCGTCAGTATAAGCTGCCCTCGTATCAAATGAAATCTCATCTGACATTGCTTATTCATTAGAATTATTCATGAAGATCAATGAAATGAATTTTCATTTGCAAGAGATTAAGGGAATCCTATTACAGCCAAATCTCTAGATTCTAAATTTATTTCCAGGTTAATCCTAAAAGTGCAATATAGGCCATTGTGAGCTATTCCCATTTCCATGTCACTCTGAGCTAGAGGAGAAAGGTGAAATATAAGATGATTATCAGCAAATTTCTGGCAAGCATTTGAATATGCTGTATAAAGATGTGTCTGTGCGATTTGAGGATATTTTTTGATAAAAATATCAGATTGGACGATAAATTCATATTTAGATACTGCAAATGTTGGAATAGAGGAGGAAGGACTCAGTGAATCACTAACAAATCATTACTAGTTTTGGTAGTCATTAAAGTTGTATCTAAGACTATTGTAAAATGACCACCAGACATCGAAAATTTGGCATCACTTCATCAACTTCCTCAATTTTGTCAAATTAATTAAATAAAAAAGTTTAAGTAATTTTATTTTTAATAAAATGAGAAATTACCTATGAGAAGGGACCTAGTCAAATTTACTAATTAACTGAAAAAAGATAATATAAAAATATATAAATACTTCTGTTGAGTGAGCAAATAATAGTTATCTGCACACACTTACCCTAATCTTCAAAGCTTTCTTCAGCTCCTTTATATCTTCCTCTTTTGCATCCACCTTGAACTTGAGGTTCTCAATGTCACTCACCTGACTCTTCATTGTGGCAGCACGTAGAAAGATAGGCGCTGTAGGCTGGAAAATACAATCAAGTGTCAGACCGGTAAGCAAACCAAAAGTATTAGAAGCTTCCTCTCTCCTTGTCTCTTTTCTTTTGCCATTATGGGGGGCGTTGTCAGAAATATCCTAACTCTACAATAATGATTAGCACTATTTTAACACATGGAGAAAGTTATGACTCAAACTACTAGTACGACAGAAATATCTCTGACAACGGCCTCCTGCCTCCTGATGGAATATACGGCCGCACAACCATGTTGCTCTGGTTTCTGCTAACAGAATGAGATCGCTGCTCATCGTCGATTTCGGACAGTGGTGTTAACGTGAAACACGTACCTTGCTTTTAGGTGTTCCATCGTAATCGTATTCGCCCTCCTGCATTGCCGCCGTCACTTTATTCATGGAGGCCATGCAGGTTTGCATGCTCTGCCGCAGCGAATCGAACGGTCCGCCATCATCCGCTCCGTAAACCTTGTCGGATGCAAGGAAGGCTAACTCATCCAACTTCTTAGCTGGCAGTCCATCAACATCTGTGTAAAAAACATCAGACTGACATAACGAACAATTAATATGATTGGAAAATGAACGAATTTTGCATTTCGAATAGTGAGGGTACATTGTGGGAACTTTTCAGCTATCAAGCACACTACCTGAAGAATATTTGCTATTCTAAGGTATACAGATGGCTGCCTCTGTTGATTCACAGTTTCGGACCTTTTCGAGGGAGTCACCAAGAATGACGAGAAGAGTTACAAAATGGGGAAACCGAGTTGGCAGTCGAAATGCGAAATTGGCTTATATAGCGAGTAGAAACAGTTTTTTTTAGAGGAATGGCAAAAGGATTGCTTACCACTAACCATGCACACATGGCAACACATTTCAGCACTAAAATTAATTTAAATAATCTCGCAATTCAAATTTCCATTCACTCACAATTTTTTCATAATACGTATTTGTTCGTAATTGACACACTGTTATTACCCAGTGCATAGATGGTGTCCTCATCTAGACCTATCTAATTACGAATTAACTGATTAACGTAAATTTACCAAGCTACCTTTTTCTGAATAACTTTATAACCAACACCAATGAATCCATATATTAACCATATTCAAAGAACAGAAAGGTAGATGGGTAGGTATTTAGGTGGGTGTGCGGGTATATAGTTAGCTAGGAAAGTGGGCAGGCAGATACGTAGGTAAGTAGGTAGGTAAGTAGGTAGGTAAGTAGGTAGGTAGGTAGTTACATTGGTAGCTAAGTAGGGTAGGGTAGGATAGGTAGGTAAGTAGGTAGGTAGGTAGGTAGTTAGGTAGCAAGCTGGGGTAGGTAAATAGGAAGTGCAGGAGGTACTAAGCAAGACCATCACCAAAACCCTGGATGATGTACCTGGCAGCACAGCTAGCTGCTGCATGGCCCCACTAGCGAGCTCGCTCACTGTGTGTGCAACATTGTTCAGGTCGGCGGCGCACGACGTGACGACGCTCTGCACGTCCTTACTGAAGACGAGCGGATGCTGCGCTTCATCCTGAGGCATCCTACGCTTGATCTGAACGAAGACACGTGCGAGCGATCGTTAACAGACGGCTCGCGGCTAGTAGCGTGCCGCTGTTTTACAGCACGCCGCCATGTGAGGCGACGCACCACTGAGTTACAAATAACATTATTATGCCCCGTCGCTGCTACAGCATTGTCGCTTGGCTAGTGGTGAGTCGAGGCAGTAAAACTTTATACATCCCGCTCATGATCATATGTTCCTGCACTAAACCTTTTGTGTGACATCGTACAATCAGGTTAGCATTGCAATGTCAGTTCATGTTTAAAGTCAGCATACGTACATTAGGAATGGGCCCTCACAGTTGCTAGGAGAATTAGTATGCCATAATAATATAATTTAGGATGCACAAACCCTTGTCCAAACTCAGGCAGCCACGTTGCCCTCATAGCAGGGCAGTAGTGTGTGAGTGTGTATATGTGAGTAATGGGGGTGACCATTATTATAAGATATTATATAAACTGTGCAGCTCAAGCTGCGGCAGGCCCCGCTGGAGCAACGCTGCGAATTTTCCGTGCCAACCTTCTTCAGGAACATCTTGATGTCGTCGTTGTACGTCGCGATGTCCTTGAGTAGGATGCTGATCTCGCTCGTCTCTTGACCGGGCAGCATGATGAGCTGCAGCCGGCCAATGTCCAGCGAGACCCAGTCACATGCGGCGTTGAACATCTTCACGTGATTGCCCAGGTACTGTGTGCAGTTCTCCCCGTTCTCACTCAAGTACGTCGAGTATACGTGCTGCGAATAGGGAAGGTTGTGGCAGCCGTGATGAAAACGACAGAAAATCATTATTATAATAAGAAGAAAGAATTAGTAGCCGTGTGTGAATTTAGAAAGGAAGCGAAGATTATCAGTGAGAAGCAAAGAGTTAGCAAATGAACATTATATTTCCGAAATACCAAGATACTAATAACACCTACCATCACAAGCAAGTAAACGCATACGCAATTCACCATTCATACACTACACTATAAACAGAGAGCCAAGTTACTGTAAGGTACAGTGAATAAACTGGCCAGCTTTAATCATCCTAATGGCACTCAGTGCTCTTTCATCGTGCGATCCTCATTCATAACGAAGCAGCTTCAGTCTTCTTTTATAACAACTTCTGCGCTTACATTGAAGAAAGCACAGGCTTTCTCTAGGGGTTCCAGAGAGATGTTTTCATCTAGCTGGTCTTTCTTCAGTAGCTGTATGAAGAAGTCAACTGTCTTCTCATGAAGGATGAAGTCAGAGTACAGGCTACCCACTCGCAGGAACAGATCAACGGGACAGAGTGCTAGTGAACTGTAACATAAGATAAAGAAAAGTAAAAAAAAAAAATATATATATACACCTTACATTTAACATACATTACCAGTATGGATATACCAATTACATTAACTTACGACTAATACATTGGCATCTGTGTATGTGTGTGTGCATACGTGTGTGCATGTGTGCGTGCACGCGCGTATTATACATACATATATATATTTACATATTCGCACGCACACACCACTAACATTTCTATATAGAGACATTACGTTCCAGTAAGAATAAGCGAAATGTGAGCACGATTGTATAACTAATCAATAGCTTTACATATGAAACAGATTGCAGCTCGCCCCACAATGGAAAGCTGTTCGTTGCTGCTCTATACAATACATGCACTGAACAGTTCAGACAATCGACTTCTTTGATGAGACAATACTATTTGATATTCAAATTTCACTGATAAATACAGTCAAACAGGTTAATTTAGTACGCTTGCATTTATTCAAACAAGGGAGTTAAAGCAATACGTTAAACAGGGGCAAGGAAGACAAGACAATGTACAACTCTAATGTACCTATATGAAACAAATACCTCTCAATCCTGTGCAGTACAGTCTGCAAGGAGATTAAACAGTGTACCACTCCACGTGCATAACTCGCTTGCTCTGCCTTCTGAGACTTTATCACCAGCTCCTTAGTAATCTTCTCCGTCAGTTCAAACTTTCAAAGTATCAACAAAGTATGGATTCAGTTTTTATTATGGCTAAAACAGTCACTGAGTGCAGCAGTACCTGTGCTACACATGACAGAAATGTAGTTTCTAACAAGAAATACACAATTATTATAGGGGGCCCTACAAAAGTGCATTAAATTTTTTTTCTTGTGCACACCACAATTGCATGTAATATACTGAGTGTGTGTGGGCATATGTGTCGGGCACAAAATAATGGTTGATGTGAATCAGAACTGATCAATTTCTTCTGATCAATATCACTTCTATTTAATTAGCCAAACATAGGTTTAAATATCATTATGAATCCAGTTGCAATTCGATGCTTTATTTAGACCACAGTGTGACAGGACAGTAAGTCTTGTTTTACAACAAATGACAAGTAATAATAGCACCACGGGTATAGGACCGTGAGTGTTAATAAGGTAATGTGGTTATACCTTGTTGGAGACTTGTTCTGCGAGCAGACCAGCCTTGTGGCATATGCGCGGAACCAGCAGCAGCACCAACATGGCATCATGGTCACCTTCAAACAGATGGAGCTTGCCTTATAACCACACACTGCCTCTGCTTTGCTAATGTTAATACGGAGCATGTCTGCACAAATTCTAAACGATTGCTGAATCAACCATCGCGAAAGGTAGTGCATCGTGCTAAAATGCCATGCACGCACCTGGTGTTAACCTCAATTATTAGTAGCACAGGAGTCACTACAAGCACAACTAATATAGCACTGCCACGTGAACTGTATCACTATGCTCCAATAAAACCCTTAGTTTAAAATAACACTCACATATCAAGAAATTTTGTGTATTGCAAAATGCGTGATGCAAAATAATGCAGCCGTTTACTCGTGACAATTTTTACTGATGTTTTATCTGCATGGAGATGAAACATATAATACTTTCCCAACAATCCGACCACATGCAGCAATAATGGAATTGCTTCTATGGATTGGACAAATTGTCATTCTCATATATTGATGGCTAAACACATGAGTCCTACCTCCTCTGGCCATGAAAGTATCTGGCATGAACGAGCACAGCATCTGAATGTGCTCGTTTGCCTGCCGAACTTCAAGTTTTCGCAGTTCCATGTCTATAGCCTAAACACAGAAATGCAACAATGTAGTGGCATGCCGTACAATAAAATATTTGTTACCAATGACAACGGTGTAACTTGCACAGAGCACTACATGCACATTTCTATGAGTTTTGTGATGTTCACGTATAGAATGGCTGGAACGTGGCACAGCAGTGTACGTGATTTGTGATGCCATAGCCATGTCCCATAGTTTGCTTGGAAATAACGTGGCTAGATAATTCTACACGAGAAGAAATCTTCCTGGATTAAAAGGCTCAACCCGCAATTAGTATGCATAAACCACATATTCATTTAGTAATTCATTATATAATTCCTAATTTACCGAATACAGAAGAACCCAGCTAAGAGAGCCCCCGCAATAACACGAATTCAGACATGTTGTGATACTTGCAGTAGTAGGAGAATAATCATAATTCTCTGGTGGCTGTCTGCTCGAATAACTGTACAATTGCATGAGGCAATATCTATCATAAGTTAGAATAACTCTACAGGACCATTGGTGGCAGAACATCGAATTATACAGATTATCTCTTCAGTACGTCATCGTATATTTGACTACTGGCTTCAATTAATTAGGTGGCATCATCCATGACCACTAGGGATCCAGAGCTGATCCAGCACAGTCACATGGCATAACTACAAGGCAGCTCTATGTAAGTATTGCGAATATTCCAAAGACAATGCTTCGTAACAACGTGCCATAAGTGGGCATTTTAGTGTGCACTATATACAAACCGGATTATCTTGCCTGACCTAGCAACTGCGTTGGGGGGAGGGGGGTTTAGTTTGCTAAAGCGTATAGGTCAAAAGTAAATTCCTGTGAGATTCTCTGACATTTCTATACATTTGTTTCGCCATCCCTGTGAACACCCTCTCCCCTCGACTCCCTTTCTTGCCTTGGATTTTCCATCCATGTGAAACCCCCCCTCCCATTGAAACCACTTCTCATCTTGGAATACTCTCCTTGGATTACCCATCAACAAGCCCCTATCCTCACCTTGGATTATCCATCCATGTACGATGTACCCATCCCCTGACACCCCTTCTCACCTTGGATTATCCATCCATGTGCCCATCCCCTGACACCCCTTCTCACCTTGGATTATCCATCCATGTACCCATCCCCTGACACCCCTTCTCACCTTGGAATGAGCCTTCACTTCCTCGATGTGCATTTTGAAGTCAAACTTCTCTGCGGGCGCCGTCTGCGCGCTGGCCTTGCTCTCCGATGACTGCTGCTGATCGATGAGGTCACGATTCCTCTCCTGCAACTCCTCGACGAGCCGCCGGAACTTCTGTATCGTCTGTTCATAGTCGACCATCGTCTCCTGAGATGCCTCAACCATCTTGTCAGCCTGATTAATATAAACACATATTTACACCTCAACCCTCTTGTCAGCCTGATTAATATAAACACATATTTACACCTCAACCCTCTTGTCAGCCTGATTAATATAAACACATATTTACACCTCAACCATCTTGTCACCCTGATTAATATAAACACATATTTCAACCTCAACCATCTTGTCAGCCTGATTAATATAAACACATATTTACACCTCAACCATCTTGTCAGCCTGATTAATATAAACACATATTTCAACCTCAACCATCTTGTCAGCCTCATAAATATAAACACATATTTACACCTCAACCCTCTTGTCAGCCTGATTAATATAAACACATATTTACACCTCAACCATCTTGTCAACCTGATTAATATAAACACATATTTACACCTCAACCCTCTTGTCAACCTGATTAATATAAACACATATTTACACCTCAACCCTCTTGTCAGCCTGATAAATATAAACACATATTTCAACCTCAACCCTCTTGTCAGCCTGATAAATATAAACACATATTTCAACCTCAACCCTCTTGTCAG